AAAAAAAAAAAAAAAAACCACTGAAAAAAATGACAGTAATCAAGTCATACTTATTGATAATTGCACTGAACATTATGGATTAAACATACCAGTTAAGAGATATAGAGAGCAGAAATGGTAAGAAAACAGGATCCTTCAGTAAGCTGTCTATAAGTGACTTTATCAGAAAGATGGAGACAGCATAAATGCCCATCAACAGAAGAAAGATTAAACAAACTTGGGTACATACACATAGTGGAATATACAGAGCCTTAAAGAATAATGAAGAATTTGTAAAACACCTCACAATCTGGTTGAATCTGGAGAACATTATGCTTAGTTAAATTAGTCAATCACAAAAGGACAAGTATTGCATGAGACCGATGCTGTAAAAAGTTAAAAAAAAAAAAAGACTTTGTTGATAAAAAAAATCTGTTATAGTTCCAGGCCAGAGGGTAGACACATGTTAACATGGGTGACAGGGTAGGCAATATACAATAAAATGAGGTTAGCAGAAGAATGATGAAAGTAGCTGAAGACACAGGGAGGAATGCAATAGTTAAAGTGAATAGATGTAAATATTGTATGAGACCAATGTTGTAAAAATTAAGAAAAGTTTTTCTTGATAAAGGAAACATTTTATTAGGCTTATGGGAGGTGGGGGGAGTGGAAAGGAAAAATTATTCTTGGGCTAGAAGGTAGATATAAGTTAACATGGGTGACGGGTCAGGCAATGTACAACAAGAGAGAGGTTAGCAGAGGAGAGATGAAGGTAGTGGGAAACACAGAGGAACAAAAGTTAAAGTGAATAGAGGTAAATACTGTTAACTGTTGGTACATGAAAAGGATTGCAAACAAAGTAAATGATTGGTTGAATGTACAACTCATGATCTGTTCTGTAAACCTCCACTCAATTCACAACAAAAAGTTGAAAAACAAAACCAAACCAAGACAACCTCAGAGGAAGTGGAAACTTACACATTGACCCCAGGGTTCCCAGTACAGCCAGCACTACCAAGTGCAACATTAGTGAAACATAAGCAACGTGGCACCAAACACGTGATGGATCTCTTTGTCCTATAAAAGAGCATGAATTAAGATAAATTACATGAAACATCTTTATTCCACGTTCATCTTCCCACACCCAATGCCCTGCTGTGTGTAGAATATTTGAACTTCTAAATTTATTTTTAATGAATAAAAAAAACTTGATAAATCAAGTAGTCCTCACTGTGTACAGACAACCTGAATACGAATACATTGCTATAATCATATCTGAAAGTATGAATCACACTGCCTATACAAATGGGCTCAGAAGACTTATTTTGGATATTGTGGTGGGTACTTTCTTTTTTATATTTTAACAGTCTTTTTGTTTTGTTTTCCCTCTCCAATCTTCATAATCCTCTTCTCATTGGCCCACTATTCCAAGTCACTCCATTTCCTGGTAGCCCATGTTGGCCATTTGCTGTAAATCCTTCCTTAATCTTCCCTTTAATTGTACTGGGATAGGTTAGCTCTTAATAAGTTTTCCAATCCATTCTCTGATGATGGAGCTGTTCAAATGATCTGTTTTATATTTCTCCTTTGTTTTCTTATGTATTGGGAAATGAGTTCCTTTGCCTTCATTCTTTGAAAGAAAACAGCTTGAGAGATTTTCTTCCAAAGTTCTGAAGACTTACCTTTGCCCTAGTTTCTATGCTAAAGAGTTTGTTATTTTTGTCTAGGTTAATTGGCATTTCTGGGAAACTAAACAACTTGACTTTTTGTCTAATCCTCTGCTGAAGCCTGCCCTGTGATTGGTATGTACCTTCCATGGGTTGGTTAATATACCCATGCATATGAGGTAACTATAAGTTACTATGCAAATGAAGTGTCTGTGACCAACCCAGTTAGTTTGTGAGCCCCTGCTGAGAGAGGCTATCATTAAATCTGACAATGAGTTTTATATATGAGAACTCTGATAGCATAGTGGTTACAATTTGGCTGCTAACCTGAAGTCAGCAGTTCGAAACTACCAGTGGTTCCTCAGGAGAAAGATGAGGCGATCTGCTCCTGTAAAGATTTACAGCCTCGGAAACCCTGTAGGGTCACTGTGAGTCGGAACCAACTCCACGGTACTTAACAACAACAACAACAATACTTAAAAAAATTCACAGAAAAATTCCATTGTCTGTTAATTCCATTTTTTCCATGAACTTTTTGAAGTCTCCTCATATATACATAGGTAGTCTCACAGAGGTTTTTCAGACAGGCTGAAATAGGAAACAGAGCAGCAAGAAGATACAAAATGATGATAGCAGAAAGAGAAAACAGAGAGTGAGCATGAGACAAGGCCAGGAGTCACCTAAAAGCTTAGCAACACTGGTAAAGGTTATAACATTGAAGACAGCAAGAGGTCTGAAGGGGTCCGGGAAAGAGCCAGTGGCAACAGAAGACAGAGCCAAGAAGAGTCTGCCCTGAAGGGGCTGAGAGGAGGCTTCCAAGACTGAGGAGCTGAA